CCACAAAATTCTGTATAGAGCAAATAAAAATAGAATTTTGTAGCTTCAAACCATCGAATAGATGATTTTGGACAGCTTAAAAAGCGATAGGCCAAATAGGATATTATCCTGGGTCCTAATTGCCCTATACATACAGAATTTTGAGATTCCCCATTTTGTAAGACGTCAATCTTTATTGGCACAATTGAAATGAATTCAAATGGCTACAAGCACAAAGCGCCTGCTTGAAGAACCGCAAAACATATTGGTGCGGGTTCACATCCATTCCAGGTCTCCTTATGTTTTGTCGGGGGTACCCCAATACCACCTTCTCCCTCTAGACTGCATTTAAAGCGAGCTATTTGAATCTTCGACTATCATTATATTTTATACGGCTGGACACTTTTGCACTTCGTTTTGCACTAGGGATAGAGCCTAGCTGTGCATTTGTGCTATCGCTTTTACCACGAGGATTGATCCAAGGAATTGTTTGATTTAATCTTTCGCCAAATGATTTCACTTTCTACTTTGCGCTGCAAAATTATGGTTTGGTCAGGGCACGTTGTGCACCACCCGCGCCTAAAATAGCCAACAGACCACCCTACAAGGCTGATGGCGGGGGTTTTGATTAGTTTGTGATTAGTGATTCTTGTTGATTCGCTGACGGCACTTCCTATTTTGCACCGTCACAAACCCATCGTCGTCGACCCGATTCAGTCCCTTTACGGGCATTCCTTGTAGCGCCAACTATGTTTATGACGACGGTGGCATAATCTCGACGAACACCTTAAGATTTCACTAAGGCTGCAGAAACGAGCAGCTGGTCGAGCAACGAGGAGGCGAGAGCCCACAGGGATGAAAGCGAGGCACGCAACGTGCTTGCTAATCAGTCGGCAGTGGTAACAGTGACGTTGGCGACACAGCTCAGTGGTGTACTATAGTGGTCATAGGGCAAGCACAATTAGGTACCGTGGCATTTGGTGCAGGAGTAAGCACTGTGTGTTATTTAGTCAGTAGGAGTCTGACACTTCCTCTCGCCCAATCCTGGGCCAGAGAAGTTGCTTAATAATTTACTACCTCAAATAAAGTGAATACCTATTTCTTTTCGGCGATAGATGGTAAAAAGCTTATAATGATGGACACTCTTATGAGCGTAATTCAAATATTGGTAGACCACTGATTGTTGTTTATTTTAGTAACCATTTAACCTTTGTATAATTTTAATCATTGCATTTTTATGTAGTTTGAAGGTCATAACATAACAGTCATTGTCAATGTCTACAACACCTTGATTTTTATTTGTGTAATATTAATTTACAATTAAAATTGTATAAAGCTGTTATCTTTATAATCAGTGATTACCATTGACATCATAAATGCGGCTTGTATTTTGATGTGAATGCAACAATGACCGACTGCAACTTCAAAATGATAAATATTTAGTACTAGCTTCTGCCAACGACTTCGTCCGCGTGGAATAGTGAGTTCTAGCAGAATTTTGGTTTTACCCACATAGTTCCCGAACTCGTAGGACTTTCGAGAAGTTCTCCTTTTAAATTCACTAGATAAAAACTATTCTATTTCCTTTTTCGACTTTCAAACTATGTCTGTACTAAATTTTATCCAAATCGGTTCAGTAGGAGAGACAGACAGATAGATAGAGTCTGAGTTACTAACGCATTGATTTGAAATAAAATTAACATAGGATTTTGAGTAAAACTTACAAAAGCTTGCAACACATTAAAACAACTCAAAAACGGATTAATGATTGATTTTTAGTGCGCCACAAAGTTTTGCTTGTCTATCTTCCATGTACAGACAGCGATCTTTAACTGTTTATTATATGAATTAAAATTGATTACTAGCTTCCGCCAGCGGCTTCGCCCGCGTGCTGTGTTGACAAAAAGCAGCCTATAGCAATAGATTATAATCAAATTATACATAAAATTTGTTATTAATCGTCTCATTTTTATGAGTACATCTCCAATGGGTAAATACCCTATTACTTATTAAGTCACCGCTATCCGTCCGTCTAAAGATATAATGGTACGGATCTAACTAATAGGTAAGTATTACATATCTATACTAATATTATAAAGCTGCAGAGTTTGTTTGTTTGTTTGAACGCGCTAATCTCTGCAAATACTGGTCCGATTTGAATGATTCTTTCAGTGTTGTGTAGTCCATTTATCGAGGAAGGCTATAGGCTATATTTTGTTAAACACAAAATTAGGGATCCGTAATAATATTGCTATTTTGTAACACAAGGAGTAAAATCGAAAACTTATTTTGGCGTGCGCTCTCTATCTCTATCTCTATCTCTATCTCTATCTCTATCTCTATCTCTATCTCTATCTCTATCTCTATCTCTATCTCTATCTCTATCTCTATCTCTATCTCTATCTCTATCTATATCTCTATCTCTATCTCTATCTCTATCTCTATCTCTATCTCTATCTCTATCTCTATCTCTATCTCTATCTCTATCTCTATCTCTATCTCTATCTCTATCTCTATCTCTATCTATATCTCTATCTCTATCTCTATCTCTATATCTATCTCTATCTCTATCTCTATCTCTATCTCTATCTCTATCTCTATCTCTATCTCTATCTCTATCTCTATCTCTATCTCTATCTCTATCTCTATCTCTATCTCTATCTCTATCTCTATCTCTATATCTATATCTATCCCTATCTCTATCTCTATCTCTATCTCTATCCCTATCTCTATCTCTATCTTTGTTGATCAAATATGTGCTCTTATGTTCGTTGATACTTTTAAGGTATGAAAAAAATTCCACAGTAGAGAACTCTTAAGGATTTTTTTTTACAATGTGTACTCTAGTTCCTCTTACTACTACAAGTAAAGTTTGCCGAAAATCCACATGCCTTTGCCGAAAATCAACATGGGTTGGATTACTGATCCAACCCATGATTTTATCACAGCCTCTAATCTAAGAGTCCTTCACATAAGCGCTATGAATCATGGTACATTCATCACAGATGATTAAAATGACGTCTTACAAAACTTTGCCTAAAGGGCCATTTTTACGAATAGAGCACACGCTAACTTTCTGTAATAGAACGGTTAGGGGCAGTTTAAAAGTGGAATGAGCTGTGCGTCCGCCAGCTAATACCTATACAGTAGCAGCGATTCCTGATGACGCTACTGCCAAAGCTAGTTTTCCCTGAGACCTTTACTTTTGCTAATATCAAATTAGTAATGAAAGTTTTGCCGGTTCCGCCTGGAGCATAAAAAAATGTTTTCCCTCATTGAAACGAACACTGTGCATAACACTATTGTATGCCATTACCTGGTCATTTAATAACTTGGTTTCATATACTCATTTAATTCATCATCATATGGCCAACGACATTTCTAAAGGATCCAAATTAGTAATTTAATTAGTAAAATACGTACTCGGCAATTCAGAGCATTCTAAGTATATTTGTTTATATACTTAGAATGCTCTGAATTGCTGAGCTATCAGGAGTTACACGTTTCACTGTGAGTCAACCATAAAAGATAGACATATACTATTGTGAGCAATGATGTATAAAACTATAGATACTTTGTCCGCGCTCTAAAATGACAACATGAAATGAAGGCAATTGACAACATCGCGCTTAGTTACGCACCAACCTGCCGCGCGACGCTACGTTTGTTTTTAATTTATATTGTGTGTGTAAACCTGTGCGAATCATAAAGAAAGCATGTCGTCGTGTGTGTTCAGACGATGTACAAATTATACTCCAAAAGTTAAAGACAAAAATGTGTCATTTCATGCGTAAGTTCACCAAACAACCTATTTTTATTTTATTTTTTTGACGCCGCCCGGCGCCCGCCATCTTATGGCGGCCGGCGCATGAAGGTATAGTCACGTGCCGCCGGCATAACTGAAGATGTATATTTATCTCCCTCTAGCAAAGGCATTCCACTATACGATGTCATATTTTCTTTCCCTTTCTTTACTCGTAGAAGTAGTTATCTAGTATTTTCGCCGTTTTTAAGCGCCGCGATGTTGGTTCATGACGTGTCTATATATAATACGTCATTGATTGTGAGACATTTTGTAGATAATATTATGTAGAACATTCTGTGATACATGATTTCTATCTAACTTTAACCTTTAAGGCTGTACACGCGACGGAAGCTAAAAAAAATGGAGTAACTTCTCCCGTTTTCCCAAAATTTACCTTCACTGCTCCGCTCCTATTGATTGTAGCGTGATGAAATGTATCCTATAACCTGCCCAGGAATATAAATAATGATTGTATTAAGTTCCATTAAAATCTGTCGAGTAGTTTTTGTTTCTATATGGAACATACATTTTACTGATTACATTTTTGGCATCAGTGTCGATCACTTATCAGCCACTGATAGTTATTTTGAAAATATATTTCACGTACAGAATTGACCTCTCTACAGATTTATTATAAGAATAGATTTATTTCACAGTTTATCCTAGCTGCCGTCCACTTGTCTGATGAGACATCTAATGCTGTTTCTTTGTTCCATTCTTTTCCAAGATGATGCAATTGAAAGTCTTTTTAGAGGTTCGCCCTTGCAATCCAGATGCTTCAGGCTTTCTGAGGTTATATGTATATAACCAACAGAATAAAAATCATGCAAAATGCAAGGGTAAGTTTTATGAGTAGAAGCTTTATCCATGATCAATGCTTTACTATTTTAAAAAAGTATTCTTATTTCTTCGCTTTGTCTAAAAAGTTGTCTTCAATAACCAATAACCTAATCAGGACTTGGTTCAAGATGTAGTAAACGGTATACATTTATTATGCCTTCCTTATCTATACAGCAAAGTAAAGCAAAGCTTTTTTTTAGAGCAAAGGCATGAAAATATTACCTACTAGACGCGGCAACAATCACAACATCCTTAATCTCGTCTATACCTAACAGAATAACCAAAATTTATCGGCAAACCGGTAGCGTATGGGGCTAATTGATTAATCTACGCGTAAGATTATATCAATATTAAAACGATAACTTTTGAATAAATACTGCTGTTACGGAGAATTCACACAGTAATTTAAATGAGGAAAATGAGGGTGACGCTTCTGTGTCTCTTCGTCGCTGCGGGTAAGTCAAACCGTATTTTTTTAATAGTGAATAAGTGTAAATATAATATAAACGAAAATCAACTAAAAGTTACATCGCACATTGATAAAGAAATTAAGAGAAGATTGTCACTAAACAATACACTTGCGTTTATAGCATATACCGCATCTGCGGTGCCACTAAATTCGGACTTCTCAGAGGACCGTGAATACCCACGGTTCATTGAATTTCCCGATGGCGATGGTGTTATGCACACCGTCGACCTAGAAGCTGAGCCAGACTATGAACTTCTTGACGAAATTTCTAGAAACCCAGCAAACAATGTATATTTATTATACACCAGGTAAGTGCCCTAAATTAAATCTGGAAACATATCTACATAATATATCAAATCACTATTTAACGATTTATATATTATCCCATTGTATCTCCCACAGTCATACAATTGAATCCGTAGAGCGTTTGTTAAACGCATAATTATGATTACCCTAATTTTTCACTGCATCGCTGGTAAATATCTGGCATGATCTTATTTTGATAATTTTCGATTCGATTTTCTTTTGTTTTACAGACGCAACCCTACTTCGTCGCAGACATTAGTGATGAACGACATTGCTTCCATCTACAACTCTTTCTTTAACCCTCATGTACCAACAGTTGTGATTGCGCACGGTTGGCTCAGCAACCAGGAATCTGACCTCAACCCAACTATTAGAGACGGTAATCATTGTCATTTTGCATTGATGATTGAGTATCACTAACCGCTTCATATAAAGTACTAATTTGTTTTGATTAAGGCGTATAGTACCCTCAATAACCTTGAGCATCCGATCGCATGCTAAGGCACGACTGGGTTCGCCCGCTTTTTTTATATGGAAATCCCAATAATATAACTTGTTCTTTGTAAAATATTGACTGTTTTACGTGAGTGCTTCTCACTTTGTAGTAAAATTTAACACTGATTGATTAAAAAACATAAATCAAGCCATTTAGAAGGTATAGGGATTTATTTAAACAAAATAGCGTGTTGGTAAATATTTTTACAGCTTAACTATTTGTCATAACAAAGTCGAATTTACTCACATTGTAGTACATGAGTCTATAGTAAACATATATTTTTTTTCAATCTTTACATCCAACCGTTAATGAGGAATAGGCTTTAGAATGTAACATTTTTACGGCCTAAAAGGAGCGTAGGCTCTTAAGAGCATGAATTAGAAATATAATCTATTTTATTTTCTTTGTTTTAGCATTGCTTCATAAAGAGGACGTTAACGTGATCATTTTGGACTGGAAAAAACTTGCATCTTCCCTTTCCTATAATACTGCCGTAAAAGGAGTACCAGCTGTTGGTCGAGGTCTCGGTCAATTTTTGAATTTCGTGCACTATGTAACAGGAGCACCTTTGAACTCTATGCACTTGGTTGGCTTTAGCTTGGGCGCTCACCTCGTTGGTAACGCTGGTCGTGAACTTGGTGGAAGGGTTGCTCGTGTCACAGGTATTTATTGTTTTTTATAGTTTCTTTTGACTATAATTTTCGTTTGCAGTTTATTTTAATTCTTATCATGTCATTCTAGAATATATTATGTTGTTATTAATATCTCGATGTTTTTTTTGTTCTCTAGCTTTGGACCCCGCTGGTCCTCTATGGAACTACAACTCCAATCGTGTTAATCCTGAAGACGCTATCTACGTCGAGGCTATCCACACTGATGGTGGTTACACCATCGGAGGGCTTGGTATTGGCTCCGATGTAGCCAATGCTGACTTCTACGTTAATGGTGGTATCTCCCAACCTGGCTGCCTCACCAACATTTGCAACCATAACAATGCCTGGAGATACTTCGCTGCTACTGTTACCTATAACCATATTGTCGGAAAAGGGTGTTCCAGTTCCTGGCAAATTACTTGGGATAACTGCAAAGGCGAAGAACTTCACATGGGAAATAATGATCTCAAGAAATACGGGTGAGCTTTCTACTTTTTATTTTAAACATTATGAAGATGCTATTAATAAATTTTAATACTTATACGGTCGTGACCAACTACCTATTTAAGGAAAATATGCATAGAGATAAGAAAAATCTGAATTTTATGTGCGTGAATCACGTAATTAATGGATAATTAGTGTTAATTAAAGATTAACTATAATTATTACAAATTTTCCTGCTTTTTCACAGTTCTGGAAGATTCCGCGCAAACACATCCAGGAGATATCCATACTGATCGATTTACTTACTTTGAGATAATTGAATAAAACAGACTGGTTACTTTCTTAAGTTATTGCGTTTAATTTACTCTATGAAAAGTATATACATTTATATTTATGTCGAATACTAACTTCCGCCACCGGCTTCGCCCGCGTGCTGTGTTGATAAAAAGCAGCCTATAACAATAGAACAAAATCGAAGTATACATAAAATTTGTTATTAATTGTCTCAATTTTTATGAGTCCAATGGTTAAATACCCTATTACTTACTAAGTCTCCGCTATCCGTCCGTCCATATACAATGGTACGGATCTAACTAATAGGTAAATATTTCATAAAACCTATTACATTATATTTTATTTAATACATCGAGCGCGGCAACTGTTACAGTGTTCACATGCGACGGCACGATGGCTTATTATCCGAACTGCTAAGCTATCAGGAGTTAAACGTGCTATTGTGAGTTAACCATAAAAGATAGACATATGCTGTAAAACAATTTTTTTAGAAAAAAATTATGTAGATAATTTCCGGTATACATAATTTCTATGTAACTTTAACCCTTAAAGCTACACACGCGACGGAATCTTAAAAAAGGTCTGCTCAACTTCACTGCTCTGCGCCTATTATTTTTAGCGTAAAGAAAAGTATCCTATAACCTACCAAGGACTATACAGAATAATTGTACCAAGTTTTGTTTAAATCCGTCGAGTAGTTTTTGTTTCTATAAGGAACATACAGACAGACAGACAAAACTTTTACTGATTGCATTTTTGGCATCAGTATCGATCACCTTATCACTTCCTGGTATTTAATATGAAAATATATTTAATGTAAGTGCAGAATTGACCTCTCTTCAGATTTATTATAAGTATAGTTTACAGGGGAGAAAATTTACATAGGTACTGATAATTTTACGATTTTTTTAAACACCCACCTCTAAATTTTATTTTTGGTTTTGTGGATATTTGTGGTAAACAAAATACTTGTTACAGTGTATTTTGTTGTTATATGTGTGATATAATGTTTACAATATTCACTAACTGACTGCTGCGCAACGTGAATCGTCATGTTCATGTTCAAAGACCGTATGAACGAAACACTTATTTTGTTCTTTAAGAAATTGATCCGAATCTGGACATGCATAAGATCTGATGGATGTCTACCGATTTTTTTTATTTACAAACACTCAAAGCAATTGAGAACAAAGAAAAGTTTAACTATATTCGTTATTATTTTAATCGAACTTTCTCAGTCCCTATATCCTATATCTGTGGTAAACATAGGTATGCTTATCTTTAAAACAACATCTTTCATTTTGAGCTTCTGACACACGTACTCTACGGCGTCCTCAAGTTTAGTGGTATAATGTCGGCAGGAAATGTGCAACGGAGTTTTCGGCTTAGCGGCATGAAATTTTGAGCATAGACTCCATGCCGCAGTGATTCTTGTTAATTCACTGATGGCATTGCCTTCTTTGCACCGTCACGAACCCGTCGTCGTCAACCTGATTCAGTCCCTTTACTGGGATGGACTTCCTTGTAGAATCAACTGTGTTTCTGGTGACGATGATATAATCTCGACGAACACCTTAAGGTTTCACTAAGGCTGCAGAAACGAGCAGCTGGTCGAACCTTCGAGCGACGAAGAGTCGAGGGCCCGCAGCGAAGCAAAGCACCAGGGCGCACGAGGCACGCAACGTGCTTGCTCATCAGTCAGCAGTGTTAACAGTGACGTTGACGACAAAGCTCAGTAGTGTATACAATTAGGTACTATGTCATTTGGTGCAGGAGTAAGCACAGTGTGTTATTTAGTCAGTAGGAGTCTGACACTTCCTCTCGCCGTATCCTGGGCCAGAGAAGTTGCTTAATGATTTACTACCTCAAATAAACGTGAATACCTATTTTTATACGGCGATGGACGGGAAAAAGCTGGTAATGATGAACACTCTCTTAAGTGTAATTCAAATATTGGTAGACCACTGTTTGTTGTTTATTTTAGTAAAAATTTTACCTTTGTGTAATTTTTGTCACTGCATCATTTAGTAGTTTGAAGGTCACATAACACTCATTGTCAATGTCTACGATATCTTAATTTTTTGGGTAATATTAATTAACAATGAAAATTTTATAAATTTGTTATCATTATAATCAGAGATTACCATTGACATCATAAATGCGGCTTGTGTTTTGATGTAAATGCAACAATGACCGACTGCAACTTCGAAATTATTAATATTTAGATATTCAGAATTAACCTAGCTGCTGCATATATCTTGATGAATAGGCTCAAGAAACCTCTAAATAATCCGTCAATTTTTGTCTGATGAGAATTCCAAATGCCGATTCATTGTTCCATTCTTTTCCAAGATGATGCAATTGAAAAGTTTTCGTAGAGGTCCGCTAAGCCCTTACGATGCTCCAGATGTCTCAGACTTTCTGAGAATGTACTTATCAACAATGATGATGATGAGGTATATTACTACCTATTTTTTTCTTTTATATATATCCAACAGAGTATAAATCATGAAAAAGTGCAATGGCCAGCTTTATGAGCAAAAGCATTATCCATGACTAATGCATTACTATTTTAAACAAGTCTTCTTATTACTTCGCTTCGTCTAGAAAATTTTCTTCAATATCCGATAACCTAATCAGGACTAGGTTGAAGATGTAGTAGACGGCATCCATTTATTACGCCTCTGCTCTAAACTTATCGTTTAGAGCAGAGGCCTGACAACATTGCCTACTAGACGCGGCAACAGTCACAACATCTTTAATCTCGTCTATATCTAACAGAATAACCGAATTTTATCGGCAAGCCGGTAGCGTATTGGGCTAATTGATTAATCTACTCGTAAGATTATATCGTCAATATTAAAACGATAAGTTTTGAATAAATAGTGCTGTGTTACAGAAAATTTACACAGTCATTTAAATTCGGAAAATGAAGATTGCGTTTCTATGTCTCTTTGTCGCTGCGGGTAAGTAAAAGCTTATTTTTTTAATAGTGAAAAAGTGTAAATGTGATAGAAATTAAAATCAACTAAAACTTACAATGCACGTTGATAAAGACATATAAACATTACGAGAAGATTGTCACTAAATAATATATTTGTGTTTACAGCATATACCGCATCTGCGGTGCCAATAAATTCGGATTTCTCAGAGGACCGTGAATATCCACGGTTCATTGAATTTCCCGATGGCGAAGGTGTTATGCACACCGTGGACTTAGAAGCCGAACCAGACTATGAACTTCTTAACGAAATTACTAGAAACCCAGCAAACAACATTTATTTATTATACACCAGGTAAGTCGCTAAAGTATATCTGAGAACATATCTTAAGATGGTGGTTTTAATTTAAAAATTATAGCTGCACCTTTATTAAATCAAAAATATATAATTTATACAACCATCCGGCTGTGACAGATAAAATGGGATAATTTAAAGCGTAAAGCGTTTGTTATACGAATAATTATGATAACCTAAATTTCTCGCTGCATCGCTAGGAAATATCTGCCATGATCTTATTTTCCTACAGTTCGATCTTTTATTTTACAGACGCAACCCTACTTCGTCGCAGAGACTAGTGATGAACGACATTGCTTCCATCTACAACTCTTTCTTTAACCCTCATGTACCAACAGTTGCTATCGCGCACGGTTGGCTCAGCAATCAGGAAAGCAACCTCAACCCAACTATTAGAGACGGTAATCATTGTCTTTTTTCATTGAGTTTCACTAACCCCTTCATATAAAGCACTACTTTGTTCTCATTAAGAGCATGAACTATAAATAATATTTGTTTTATTTTCTTTGTTTTAGCATTGCTTGGTAAAGAAGACGTTAACGTGATCGTTTTGGACTGGCGAAGACTCGCATCTTCCCTTTACAATACTGCAGTAAGAGGAGTACCAGCTGTTGGTCGAGGTCTCGGTCAATTTTTGAATTTCGTGCACTTTGTAACAGGAGCACCTTTGAACTCTATGCACTTGGTTGGCTTTAGCTTGGGCGCTCACCTCGTTGGTAACGCTGGTCGTGAACTTGGTGGAAGGGTTGCTCGTGTCACAGGTATTTATTGTTTTTTATTGTTCCTTTTGACTACAATTTTCATTTGCAGTTTATTTTAATTCTTATCATGTCATTCTAGAATATATGTTGTTATTAATATCTGGATATTTTGTTTTGATTTCTAGCTTTGGACCCCGCTGGTCCTCTATGGAACTACAACTCCAATCGTGTTAAGCCTGGAGACGCTATCTACGTCGAGGCTATCCACACTGATGGTGGTTACACCATCGGAGGGCTTGGTATTGGCTCCGATGTAGCCAATGCTGACTTCTACGTTAATGGTGGTATCTCCCAACCTGGCTGCCTCACCAATATTTGCAACCATAACAATGCCTGGAGATACTTCGCTGCTACTGTTTCCTACAATCATATCGTCGGAAAGGGATGTTCCAGCTCCTGGCAAATTACTTGGGATAACTGCAAAGGTCAAGAACTTCACATGGGAAATAATGATCTCAGGAAATACGGGTGAGCTTTCAACTTTTTATTTCAACATAATTATAAGGATGCTATTTTGAATCCCATTTGATTCGTTTATGAATTTTAATAATAAGTTTTTATACTTACATGGTAGTGGCCAACTACCTATTTAAGGAAAATAATTATGCAAAGACATAAAAACATCGGAATTTCACGTTCACGAGATTGGTGGGTTAGTGTTAATTAGAGATTAACAATAATTATTTCCTTTTCTTTTTTTTACAGCTCTGGAAGATTCCGCGCAAACACATCCAGGAGATATCCATACTGATAGATTTATTTACTTTAGGATCATTTAATAAATCAGACTGGCTACTTTCTTAGACTGAATGTAGTAGGAATATTAAAGAAGTGAAAATTTATATTGAAAAACTTAAGTCTTTTTTGTTTGTAAACAACCTACGCAAATTTTTATTTTTGTTTCTGTGGACGGTAAATAAAATACTTGTTACAATGTATTTTGTTGCTGTAGGTACTATGTTTGAAATAATGTTTACAATATTCAATAACTGATTGCTGCGCCGAGTGAGTAAATGTTCAGGTTCAATGACCGTATGAAAGAAACACTTATTTTGTTCTTTGAAAAATTGATACAAATCTGGAGATGCATACAATCTGATAGATGTCTACCGATTTATTATTTACAAACACTCACAGCAATGGAGGAGATTATAAGTTAAAAAATAAATAAATAATATTTTTTTATAGAAATAATGTAACTTATGTATATCTTTACTTACAATAAATTTCTAGAGAGATCAATTCTGTACATGGAAGATATTTTCAAAATAACTCTCAGGGGATGATTAGTGATCGATACTGATGCCAAAAATGTTATCTGTAAAATTGTTGTCTGTCTCTCTGTCTGTCTGTATGTATAGAAACAAAAACTTCTCTACAGATTTTAACGAAACTTGCTACAATTATTTTTTATATTCCTGGGCAGGTTAAACGATACTTTTCATCACGATACAATTAATAGGAGCAGAGCAGTGAAGGGAAATGATGGGCAAACGGGAGAAGTTTCTCCATTTTTTTAACTACTTACTAAATATCCTGAAACAGAATATGTCTATATTTTATGGTTTACTCACAATCGCACTTGTAACTTCCATCACTTCCTTTATTAGCAGGATCAGTACGTATAAAACATAAAACTACGCAACTGATTTTAATCTGAGTTTTTAAATGAATAGAATGATTGAAGAAGAATGTTTGTATTCATTATAATACCCTTTAAACCGTGGAGAAATTTAGTATCAGCATTGCATTCTTGGGAAGCCGGGGTGGGTCGCTAGTAAGAGATACAAATCAAAGTGCTTACGTATTGGTTAATTATCTGAACGGGTTTTTTCAGCAACTTTTAAATGATTACAGCACAATCACACTTATAATCTATTTGCAGGTAACACTAATTGGCAATTTATCGATAATTTAAACACGTCATTATTGATAAAGAAAATCGTATTTGTCTTTTCTTTTGATGCCGTATCTAGTACTTGAATTTTTATTTGTATTTTTGTTATTCATCAATTCTACGTCTTAATTTATGTTAAAATATTTTTTTTTTAATCTGAAGCATATTTATTTAAAAATACTAAGATAAAACTCTAGTAACGTAAAATTAAGGTTGTTAAAAAGTACTGGTAATCACAGTTTTTTTAACTGTGGTAGAGTCATGCTTCGGCACGAATGGGTCGGCTCGACCGGAGTGATACCACAGCCTCACAGAAAGCCGCCGTAAAAACAACCACAGCGTTGTGTTTCGCCGTGTAAGTGAGGTTACCGGAGGCCCAATCCCGCCCCTTCCCCTATCCCTTCCCGATCCTTATATCCGCAACCCCTTTTCCCAAAAGGTCGGCAACGCACTCGTAAGTAACTCCTTTGGTGTTGCGGGTGTCCATCGGAGGGGCCGATTGCTTACCATCAGCTAATATGTCTGCTCGATTGCCGAACTATACCATAAAAAAAAAGTTTGAATAAATTAATACGCAAAATCAAAACGTCAATAAGTTATTTACAAAATAGTAAGTATATTTATAACAATTCACACATAGCTTCCCTGATTCATGATTAGAACGGATAAGAACTGCCAGTATTTACGCGGAACATTCCCGACCTGAAATTGACAAACAACATTTTTGATTAATTCTAGAGGTAAAAAGCTAATTAAGGAAATTACGAAAAAAATATTTTGTCTTATAATTATTTTATTTTATAATCATAAATTATTTCCTGGTATAACCAAAAGCAGAAATAAAATCCCTAACTATAACTAATTACTTTTGTTACTTAATACTAATATGATAGCTAAAACGACTCACCCAGTTTTCCTCAAATCATCATTGCCCATTCGGAGCTGGTTTCCACGGCAGGTATTTGAAGAGACTTGTACTGAATTGGCACATTGTCTCCCAACAAAATGGTTGTACGTGACAGAAGCGGCAAAGAATTCCACGGCACGGTTATGGTTGCAGAGGTTAGTGTTACATCCAGGTTGGGAAACTCCGCCATTCGGATAGAAGTCTGCGTTAGCCACGTTCATGCCAATTCCTAGAGCACCAGTGCTTGAGCCACCATCAGTGTGGATAGCTTCGACGTAGATAGCGTCATTGGGGTTGACACGGTTGGAGTTGTAGTTCCATAGGGGACCAGCCGGGTCCAACGCTAAAAAGTTGTTATGGATAAAATAGTATTATTTCCTATAGAAGGACTCATTACAAAATATTTATAGTTACTTACAGGAGCAAAGCTACTCTAGCTGACTAGACAATAAATAGCCTGATTACGTCTTCAATCGGCATGCATGCTTAATAAGTACCTGTAACACGTGCAGCTCGGCCACCAAGTTCTCTGCCAGCGTTACCAACCAGATGAGCACCCAAACTGAATCCAACTATATGCATGGAGTTGAAAGCAGCCCCAGTTGATCTATTGAGGAATATCAGGAACTGGCCAAGACCACGTCCAACAGCTGGTACTCCTCTGGTGGCTGTGACGTAATCAGACGCAGCAAGACGTCTCCAGTCCAGTACGATCACATTAACATCGCTCTTTCGTAGGTAGGCTGAAGAAATAAAAAGAAAAACTTGGAATAAGGTTTTAAAGGATTAACTTTCTTTTATCTAATGATCAATATTTTACTACTAAGACCAGTGATCTGAAAATGTAAGCCATGCTTCGGCACGAATGGGCTGGCTCAATAGGAGTGATACTACGGAATCACAGAAAACCGGCGTGAAGCAACACTTACATTGTGTTCTGCTGTGTACGTAAGGTTTATTGAAGCCTAATTTTTCCCCCCTCCCTCCATGTTCAATCCTCAAACTCAAGTCACCTATCCTTTTACCCGCAACAAGCCAACAAAGCACTTGTTGTAACTCTTTTGGTATTACGAGTATCCATAGCTGAATTTATGTAAGAGATTATGGCAAAAAGGTATACTTTCGAATAATCTGTTAGGATTCTGAACCTGGACACCCAGTTCTCCTAGCTTTGTTTTTAAACAAAAGTTTAGCATATAATACTTAAAGTCACTTTGTCTATTTTTCTCAGCAACTATCACCTTTTATTTGAAAAGTCTTCCCAATAAAATAAATTCTAATAAAATCGGAGTTACTGAAAAGTTATGAATTTTTCAATAAACAAGACTATATTCACTTTATTTGATTCAAAATTGATGTTCTGTTCCACCAACTGGAAAATATAGTCAATTCTGTTTGTCGTTGATTTATAAGATGAACAGAAACGTGATTACGTACGAGTTTAATGTAAAAAATCTTATTCAGTTGCTGTGAATTCTACAGCGAAATTATTCAAAGATTTTTTTTTTTTGTAATTACTACACATCGTTTTAAATCACCAATCCGCCTTGAGCAAGCGTGGTGATTAATGCTCAAATATTGTCCGTGTGACATAATAATATATCGAAATAAACATTATGCTTGACTCTCAAATAGTCTCAAGCAATGATATTAAAGTAAAATGGTGTAGATAGGTTCCCTAAACAAAATTCGATTTTCAAAAACGACACACTGATACACACATGAACAATTCGTACGTTTATACGTCAAAGTGAGATGGCATGATTCATTAGTCGCGAGTGAAAAAACAGCGAGGGTAATTAGCCACATTTTAATGTATCACTTGCTGAGCGCTTGTAACCTATTTACACCTTTTCACTTATAATATCATTGGTCTCAAGTATCTTAGATCTTGCATTTGGCAGTGGTGCTTACAATCTCATGTATGCTCTGTGGTGACAGCAATATAGAAATATATACCTACACAATTTGTGACCATCCACTCACACCGATGGTATTATAAGAACGGATTAGTGGACATACATCTTGGGAACCAGCCGACTTCCTTTTTAGTAAATATGGAGCCTATTAAACACGAGCATCGGTTGGCATAGGTCTTCTCTACGTAAAAAAAAAAATTTTACAAAATAAAAAAACCGCCTTCAAAAAAAGTCAAGCAATAAAAGTTCCTACACTAAAAAGTAAAAAATAACAATTTGAATTACTGTAAAAAAACTTAATTTATAGGTAAACTTATTTGACATTAATATTTTGCAAATATTCAAAATTTATTACTTATTTTTGGAGTCGGTGCCAGCATTTTGATGTTGAAACTTAATGTTAGTTAGGTTTTTAATATCCGGTGCCATTTTTCGTACATAATGCTTAAACATTTTCAATGTACTTAAAATGTTTTTGTAAGTACATATTTTTTATTTAAAAAAATGTGCAAATCGGACATTTTTTGTAGAGAAGTCTAATCTGTATTTATGTCTTAATTAATATACCTATATTTGAGTATGCAAATAGGTATTAAGTAGTTTTATAATTAAGTAAGAGGTAGTTTTTCAAGGGATTGTTGCCCATTTGTATTTCCTTGCATGGGCTGGCACCGACTCCAAAAATAAGTAATAAATTTTGAATATTTGCAAAATATTAATGTCAAATAAGTTTACCTATAAATTAAGTTTTTTTACAGTAATTCAAATTGTTATTTTTTACTTTTTAGTGTAGGAACTTTTATTGCTTGACTTTTTTTGAAGGCGGTTTTTTTATTTTGTAATTTTTTTTTTTATTTGTAGCCGTTTAGTGTTTTTTTTTATTATAATGTGTTATGGCAAAGAAGTCAATATCGTTCCTACATTTCTTTTGAAAAAGTTACCAATGTCATACTTATACGTAGAAATACATATCATAGTACATTGTTACTGTGTAATCGTTTTGATCTCGAGGAGAGATGATATGATGCATGAGATACTTATGACTTATAGTTAAAATAAAATAATAATCTTATCATAAATTCATATTAGTTCTCGCCAAATAACAAAAAACTAGATATTTTCATCAACAGACAGATAAAGTTCAAAGATACCAAATGCAATCTAATTTAGTATCTATGATTAAATACATTCGTACATAGAAAAAAGACCGATGCAATTATTGTTTTGTATCAATTGTAACCCATTAAATGAAGAATACTATTTTGTTATTACTAAGAACATTCATATATAGACAAGTTGGTAAAAATATAAAAGACCATCGCTATTGTAAATATACATTTATGACTCATTCAATGTATGAACCTTTTTTAAGTAAGTATTATCTACATATGTGCACACAAAAGAAACACAATTATTGTTTTGTACGACGCAATTATTGTTTTGTAACCCATTTAAAACGACTGTTTTGTTAAAAATGCCAATTAATTCTCTTAGCCTATTACCAGGAAAACGATAAGAACACAATGACGCATTTCACCACTAATGTGTAAACGCAGTCCACGTGGACTAATGCAAAATAGCCAATACTAGGCCAAACTCCGCCCCCAAAGGTGTGCGGTCCCGCTCTAGAACCTTTCGGCCCCATCGGCCATCTGTTCTACGAGCAATGTGCCGTGCCCACTGTCACTTAAGTTTGGCATTTCTTCGGGCTATGTCGGTGACGCTGGTTCTTCTGCGGATTTCTTCATTTCTGATTCGAACATGCACGGAAACTATGAGCATAGCCCTTTCCATTGCTCTTGACAGCTCTAATAAGCTTACACAATACTAGGCCCCATGCCAACCTTCCAGCTTCATCATCACATCAGTTCAATAGTACCTTACAGCCAAAGTGCATCTTATAACAATTCTAACAAGCCCAAACACGGCTAGGATATATTAATTAGGTACGCAGTTCCAGTGCCTACCTTCCAGCTCCATAATCATCATTAAATCAGTTCGATGATAACATTTCCAACATAATTATTTAAGATCATTGGTTTACAGTGCATTTTCATAGTTGCTGAACTACCTTGATTGTGATATCTATGCGAGTGTCAAGTTTCATCATCCATTTCTGATCTTCTTCACCAGTTCCACCTCATCAAACATTACTTTTTGACTGTAAATGCTTGAGTGCTCTATGAAAATATTAAAATTACTATATAGTTGCCTATAATATTTGAGGAGTTCCCTCGATTTCTCATGGATCCCATCATCAAAACTTGATTTTGAAAAAAATGGGACCAATCTGGAAGCATATCCTTTCAATCATAAAAAAAATTTTGCAAATCCGTCCATAAACGACGGAGTTCTGAGGTAACAAACATAAAAAAAAATAAAAAAAAAAAAATACAATCGAATTGAGAACCTCCTCCTTTTTTTGAAGTCGGTTAAAAAGACTGAGAAATACTATGGAGTTCTTTTTTCGAAAAAAGAACTGCCAGGGATTATCGATAATGATGATGGCGCTAATCAAAAGAAATATTAAAACTATACCATTTCTAATGATGTAGTTGGTAGAAGTAAATTGGTTGCTGAGCCAGCCGTGAGCGATGATAACAGTTGGTCTATTAGCGTTAAAGTTAGACCTAGTGATAGAGTTAGCGTCGTTCATCACTAAGGTTTGAGAGACGATCTGGTTACGCCTGTAAGAGCAAATAAAATTATATTAGACCCTATACACACAATAGGAAAGTCTTTCGAAATAGGTTGTTTTGGAAACATAAAAACTCTTGTTGTTAGAACTTGGGACTGAAATATAAATGTTATACATATATACAAAATTGGCTTATACCCGCGACTTTGTCCGCGTAATATTTGACTATCGCTTTTGCGCTGGAACTCACACGCAGGGACTGAAAGCTACGTCCCAATAAAACATCCGGTCAAAATCGGTCCAGCCAGCTTAGCCGGAACAAACAGACCAAAATAACAAAAAGTATTTTTTCATAGTTATGTAGTGATAATTGGTTATTACTAACAGACACTCCAATTCTATTTAGGTAAGCCAAAGAGAAAAAAATATTTTCTACAGTTCTTGGCTGCCTAAAACGAAATATTAAATTAGGATCAGCAGTTTTGCGAGCTCTTTAAAAAACAAAAAGGTCGTGAAACCTCAACAGTGGTAAGAAAGACAAAACTTTTCGGTGGTTTAATTTTGGTCTTACAGTGAAAATGTTTCACGACTTTTTATAGTCTCTATATTAATAAACATTGAAAAAAAATTGATGATACAACCATGGAACTGTTTGTACTAATGAAAAACATGTAGCTTATAAGTGTTAAAGATCCCAGAAGCGCAGTTATCATTAGATTTCTTTTCCCTTTTACTACTCCCCAAAGAGCAACTTCATTCGCGTCTGCGTTCATTGATAACTTTACGGGACAAAGGAAAAACTGCAAACCTTCATAGTCTTTTAGATTAATGTTGCTTTTTATTTTTCTGAATGTTTACATTTGCTTCAAAGTGAAAAGGGAAAGTCTAGTTTGACTCAGAGCGAATAATATACAATCACGAAATGATGACGTCAGCACATTTTGTTAACATTGTTTCCTTTTATTTAAATCCTGATTAATAAGAAATGGTTATACGATTATTTAATTTGTAAATAATTTTTGAAATTATTTAAATGAAAAAATATGTGTGACAAGTTATCTCAAAAATAGTTGGAACCTTCTTATTGTAAAACTTTCGAATATACATTTATAAATATAAATATAAAATTGGGAGAGCCACGGCCACACAGAAAACAGGCGTGAAACAACCTCAAAATTTTGTTTCGCCGTGTTAATAAGGTTACCGGGAGTCCAATCCCTTCCCAATTCTTAAATATCCGAAACCCTTATTCCTATAAGGCCTTCAACGCACTCGTACCTAATCCACCAGTCCATGGGTAGCGCCGATTGTTTACCATCAGGTAATGCGACTATTCGTTTGCCGACCTATCGTATAAAAAATGTATTCTTCTAATACCCTTTTTTGCTACAAACCTGGTATACAGCAGATACAAGTTGTTAGCTGGGTCTCTGTTTATTTCATTGAGAAGTTCCATGTCAGGCTCGGCCTCAAGGTCAACTGTATGCATAACTCCTTCTCCATCAGGCATTTGGATGTATCTTGGGTATACATGATTATTGTCTTGTTCCGCCAATGGCACCGCAAATGCGGTGTAAGCTGAAAAGACATATTGTGTTTTGATTTTTTTTTTGTATCGTATGCATAAGACTCATGCTTTAATGAAATCTTTTAATTTTTCGAATCCATTTTCCCTTTATTTTTTCTTATCTAACTAGCTAGCATTAGCTAACTAATATTATTTCCGTTTTATTTTAATGAAGAAAGAAAAAAAATCGTGTTAGAATTGAGCATACACATTGTTTTGAGTACAGAGAAAAAAGCATTGAAAAGAAACATTGACAATCTGCTATAATTTAAAAATCATTGTTCAATTAAAGTGTACCAATGACGATTGACGTCTTACATATCACTGACAATTTATCTTAAGATTCAATCGATAACATTTACAATCTCGTTTTTCAATCACCTCCCGACATATTTGAGCGTCACAAAATAAACATGATCACAATAATATTGTCTTTAATTGAGTAATTTTTCATTCTCAACCTTAAAACATGACCCTTAACATAATGGTCAACCTCATTTACCTTTATTACACTTACACATTGCAACTTCAACATGTCAAACTGTTTTTTTTCGTTACCACACTGATCTTCAATTATACCAAAAACAAAATATTCTTACCAGTCACAATTAAGATCAACGGGAGCACCTTCTGCATTGTTGAAACACAAGCATATAACATTTGTTTCATAACTTGTCTATTTTATCTACGTATTTATTTGTTTTATCTTTAAATGACAATATTATATCAGTGTTATAATCTTATCGCCTTTTTATAATAAATTATATCTTCAAAACGTATTTTCGGATTAAAGATTAATGAATCATTTGTGGATTTGTGAGCATTATGTGCATAATCAAGAACTTTCTGGATCGTATCGTTACCGAAATGAGACAAGGTAATTAAATCATCGATGTGATACTTATTCAATTGTAATGGTTCTTTTTAATGTCATGACTTCCAAGTCGTTTTAGCTTAGCTTCTCAATCTTACTATGTATTAGATATATAATCTTAGTTCTTTCTTGAATAATTGATAAGATTAAGATTTAAGTGTGGGAGAGTCATGCTTCGGCACGAATGGGTCGGCTCGACCGGAGTGATACCACGGCCTCACAGAAGACCGGCGTGAAACAACCACAGCGTTGTGTTTCGCCGAGTGAGTGAGGTTACCGGAGGCCCAATCCTTCCCCGCCCCCAACCCCTAAATCTCCAAACCCCTAATCCCTTAAAGGTCGGCAACGTACACGTAACTCCTCCGTTGAGGGTGTTCATGGGCGGCGCTGATTGCTTACCATCAGGTAATCCGTCTGCTCGTTTGCCGACATATTACATAAAAAAGAAGGCTAGTTTATCTTTAGCATTATTTTGATTGAAGTAACTGCTATCAGTTTTCAGATGTTTGAAGCTACCGTATAGCTATAATATTTATATATTGCAAAGATGAACATATTAGTAATATAATTATCACACTCCAGACTCATGGAATGATGGGATCTTTAAATTTAAATGACTATGATCTATTTAAATTTAAAGATTCCATTAGCATTTTTAGAAGACAACCCTAATATCAAACTCTCATCAAATCGCACTATTTCACATTCATTGACATAACGACATCGCCATCCGCGCAAACAAAACAAATTTACTAAAAGTAACAACAAAAATCTAAGTATTACGCACTGAGATATACCACACCTGAAATACTTATCTTTCCTGTACACCTTCCAAATAAATACCTATATAACTTGGATTATGAATTGCCGATAGCAAGTTATCTTTAACTGGCTTTACAAGATAATAAAACTGTGATTTTGATACATTAATACCCATTGTTATAATTCATAGTAGGTATACTTTTATCGTATTATCGGATTACCTTATTGTTTTTTTTTATGTGACTACCTGACAATGATTGATGATTAAATTTAATGCAATGCCTAAAGCAGCATACAGTTTAACAGTAAAAAAAAATACATTTTTCGGCACAAATGGGTCGGTTCAACCAGAGTTATACCACGGCCTTAAAACAACCCCAGCGTTGTGTTTTACCGTGTTAGTGAAGTTACCGGAGGCCCAATCACCCCCCTCCCCTAATCCCTTCCCAATCCTTAAATAACTGAAAGCCTTATCCCTAAAAGGCAACGCACTCGTAACCCCTTTGGTGTCTGTGGGCGGCGCTGATTGCTTACCATCTGGTAATCCGTCTGCTCGTTTGCAGATCTATTCCATAATAAAACAATGAAGTGTCTTTTTTATGACATAAGTCAGATTACCTGATCGCCTCTTGCAATACCAAACTACTGCTCCGTGGCCGGCCTCTTGTGGGTCATTCGGAATTTAAGAATAGAAAATTTGAAGATTGAGGAGGGGAAAGTATTATGGCCTCCTGTTAACTAACTCACATGGAGAAACATAACGTTATAAAGTTGCTGTTGCTGAGTCACGTCGGTATTCTGTAAGGCCGTGGTATCACTACGGTCATGCCCGTACATTCTTGCCAAAGCATGGCCCTCCCACACTTAAGCGTATGTTACGAATATTAAAAAAGTCGTAATTTATGGATTTAAAAAAAAACGTAATTATTTTTAGTTCCATTGCATCCTTACTACTTAATAATTTATTTAATTGCTTTGATACTCATGTCCAATACCGCGGGACTAAGCTAGATTTGTGCTGTCGACCAAGTTGTAAATATTGTCTCTATCTACATAGTTGGAGGGTTACCTACACAACGTTTGTCTAGACGTGTTCCCCACTCCAAAATACGTTTACCCGAACGGCCATCAGTTCACACAAAATGTTACTGCTCATTCTTTGAAATAAAGCCATTTTTGGAATACAATTTATGAAAAACAACGATTTATTCACGTGAATATAATGAGAAAAATTCTACTCGTTTCAAGTCACAACGAAACTCTTACAATAAATTCAGTATGTCTCACGATAGTTATAATATTAAAAAAATGAAATTAATTTCAGTCCATTTTTGAAGTTATGTCAATTATAATACTTTATAATATTTAATCTGTTTAAAAGATCTATAATGTGTGCTGTTCTCTATGATCTGTATCACTGCGCTCTGTACTGAATACGTAACGTAAAGTGTATTATTTAATTAAACTGCAAGTCTTTTCACAAAGCTTGTTTTACATTAATAATCCTATTTTTTTTTTCAACGAAAGCACAATATTTACTAATATAGAACAATATTATCCAAAAATATTAAAACACCCTAGCAAAATCTCATCTGTACGTTGTTGAACTAAAAATAGTATTGAATAATTTTATACTTTGCCCGTCGATTTCTTTTTTTTTACTAGCCTTTAATGTCCTACTGCTCGGCAAAAGCCTCCCCATCTCGCTTCCACACCGCCCAATCTTTCGACCGTGTCCACCAGTCTCGACGATAGGCGTCTAGATCGTCACGACATCTTTTCCGGGGCCTACCCCGCCTGCGGCCTCCATCCTGAGGTGTCCACTGGGTGGCAATTTTATCCAATATTTATTATTGTATCTTAAGATTTTATAAATGACCTAATTATAATATTATTTATAGATACCACTAATTGCGCGATGAGCAAATTCTTTACTACCAACGCTTATAGACAAATGAAAATCTAAGATTTGCAAAATGGATTTACTTTTAATCTGCTTAAGGGATTGAAAATACAATTCGCAATAAATAATGATTAATAGTTCAATAATAACAACTATGAGTGTTATAATTTATTAGTGACACTAATTAGGTACGTATCGATCATATCTTGAGTAATGAACCCGCGGACTAAAGAGATCAAAGTAGTATCTAAGTACATTTAGTACAATAGGAAATGGACAAACAAATGGACGAGTTCGTAGCGCGTAGCATTCCGTGCGAGCCTCAAAGAGCCAATAGACCACCACAGATAAGGCCCAACATGGTCAATGGTCAACCAGGGTCGCGGGTAAAGCGCAATACACAGCCTGGAGTAGAAGAAAAAAAGACACTACCTTCCTCCATACTCTGGGCGAGATAAGAAAAAAAAACATTGAACAAACAAAACAAATCTCTGCACCAATATATCAGCAATCCCACTCAGTCGTGATGCGTTCAGTGACCTGTTGACTTTGTACTCTATTAATAAATTGACTATTTGTATAATTCCAATTGTAATGTGTATGTAATATTATTATGTTATTACCATGTTATTTACCTACTATTGTATGCCCTACGGGCGGGACAAAGCTGTTCACAATTTATTATATATCTGCCACCTGTATTATGTACCTACCTATGATCCAAAATAAAGATTGATTTGATTAAAAAAAAAGAATAAAAGCAAATCTTTGATATGGGACACTACAAAGGTCCAAAAAATTAAATTACGAAAAAACACATAGGAAAGTTTTAAGAACGTCTTCTTAAAATATATTACAATCAATCGCTAAAAGCTACATAGAATAGAACACAAACGGTAATCTTCGAATTGTAACTCAAAACAAAGTAAATAAAGAACATTTTCCCTTAAAGTGTTGATTGTAACAAAAGTAAAAGTGTTGATTATCCTTAAAGTAAACAATCTTCAGCTCTTAGTTCCACCACGTCCATCATTGAACAACTCACTAAAACAAGAAAATGAAAAAAGTTTTTCTTTAATCAACGACTGCTCAGTGACCACTAGTTCTCGGTTCAAAGTTTTTTTTAAAGATAACTTAAAATTATGTTTCCAACGTCTGTCATATTTCACGTCCAGTGCAGTTTGAAACTGTTTTTGATGAAGGTTAATTTTTTCTTTAGTACAGTTCAGTAATCTGAACCTAACATTGTATTAAAATGTTTTGTAGCATCTCTATATACCTGTACCTGTACCTGTAAGACACCTATATCTAGTCGATACATTAAATTTTCTTATCACTTCTTCGATGTAGAACTATCTATCTGACTATTTTAGAATATTATCTGGAAAACATTATCCAAACAAATACGCATTTCTAAAGTCCAAAACAAAACAAACACAATTTATCGCACACGTAGGTAGCGTAAACTAAGCTTTATAATCAAATCACAGCAACTGTCTACGTTTGCATTTCAACACTAGTCTAACGAGTTTTGTAATGTGGTGGTACAACGTGAACCAAATAAACAAATGAAATACGTATCTCGGATGAGACCGAGATAAAATCAATAACATTTACGAACTTCGTAAGCAGGGTCTAGTGGTACGTGCCGGCAAGGGTATCACCCTTCAACCTTACCCTAACACTGGTAACTCTCTTCTGGCCTCGAATACGAATCGTCACATAATGAGACCGTGAAAAACACTCGCTCCTCACAACTCCTCAGTCCGCAAGCCATCAGCTACAAAACGAATCGAACACGTAAACATTCACACGCAATTACAACCTCTAAACCAATATGAATAAAGCACAATTTCGCCCATGTATCACATAGATACACTAGAGTAACACTTTCCCGAATCGCTGTTTGATATTCTGATAACATTTGTGAAATAATAGGAGATGCTCCGTTTCATGTGCGGAGACACCCATTTGACGTTCGACAAAATTTGATGAAAATACTCAAACGTAGCTTGGAACGACGAACAACGGGGTACGAGACTATAATCTCGTGGAATCGTGGTCCTTTATTTTGACGAGTCTCTTATTACGGCAAAAGTTTCATAACTTCTACTCGGCTGACATGCGAACTCTTTTCAAAGAACGCTTCTAAATTATGCTTGAATTACTAGA